ACTGAATATATCCAATGTTTATGTATTTTTTGTATCTATACTTCATATACTCTAAATGATAAAAAATGAAATATCAATAATCCTGTTATAAAGAATCTAGTAGTCAGCTTAAGTAAAATAAAATAGATTAAATAAGGAAAGAAAGCAATAAGCAGCTAGAAAGCTGCAGGGAATTTACTGTGAAAGTTCAGATGCTAGAGAAGTTCTGAGTAGTGATTAATAATGTTTATTTTGGTTCTCTATTTGTTTAGTTCTTTTTTAAAACATGAACCACTGGCTACAAATTCAGATATAGGCACAGAGAAGGAATTCAAGAAATACTTCGTTGGATATTCAAAGGAGTAAACTAAAATTTCCACTGTTAAATAAGTAACCATTTAAGTCATCCATGGTTGGGCACAGGGAAGGTATTTTAAATGACTGGCTCATTTGAGTTTATTAGTGCTTGAATTTTCCTCCTCCTCCCTACATCCTCTGGCCTCATTCTGGTAACAGGGTAACTGGCAAATCCAGACATGCCCAGGTCTGGGCAGGGGTACAGAGCTGGGGGAAGTGAACACCTAATGCCTCATCTCTCAGGTCCCAGGGCTACCCACACACTGGTGCTGTCTTTCAGGGTCTCTGAGGCTCCAGATCTATCTGCCTGCTCACAACAATTCTACCTTCTTCCATCCCAGAGCTCCTTAAATCTGCCTGCTATTTCCAGGGTTGTTTCTCTAAGATCTGGGCTCCATTCTGTCTGGTAAAACAGAGAAGTAAATAGCCAAACTTATTAAGCCAGTGCTCTTGTTTCACAGACAGTCTAGGCCTGGTAGAGACTATGATTCAGTCTCCAAGTGAAGTGCATGTTTGGAGTGACCATCTTCCTCCTCTAGTCACAGTGTATTGTGCTCCGCCAAAGAGCCAAACTGAACCCCCACAGAATGACCTCAAATTTAATTGTCCCTTGTATTTTAAATTCTCTTTATCTCTGCCTCTTATGACCTCTATTATCTTCCTGCTAAGCCTCTGTGATAACAAACTCAGACCTTAAGCCTACTAAGCCTTTATATCTTAGAACCTCTTCATAAGAACTCTACCAGGTTTGATTTGCTTGAGTAGGAATAAGAAAAGAGGGAGGAGTTTATTGATCTGTGCCTCACTTCCCAGTTAATAAAACCACTGAGACTTTTCCAGATCATTTTCTTATACTTTAGTCATTTGAACTGTTTGAGATTTTAGATCAGACATGATCAATATTATTACTTTTTAATTAGCTTTTTCTTTTTTGAATATTTGTATTGAATTTTTGTGTATTTCATCCAAAACATTTTAATCAGCTTTATACCCTCTCCCCCATCCACACCCTCCCATAGCCCCCCACCCACCCACCACTGGATTTTATGCATGCTGTCATTTATGTTAATGCCTATTGAGTTAAGTTAGTGTACCCAGATGTCCCTCGGTGCAAGTTCATCCACTGGGGTCTAGTCAGCCTATCTAGAGTCACTCCCTTAAAGAAGATCAACTCTCCCTCACCCAGCAGTAATCAACTTCCAGTAGTTCTTTTGCTAAGGTGGGGGGCCTGCTGCCCATTTCCCCAGTTCTATGCTGGGTTTTTGTCCATTTGAGTTTTCATGGGTCTAGTAAATGCTGACTTTTTTGCATAGGTTCATATGTGCAAGGTCCCAGGAGCCTATAAGAGTCTCTTTCCATATGGTCATGCACCTCCTCCCCTTACAGTCTTTTTGTCCCCTCTTC